TACTGGAAAAATACTTCTAAGTAAACCGTAAATGTTAACACTTTTAATTTTTGTTCATGTTTCTCTAAGATTTGGACACAATGATGACAAGGGTGATGATTCTCGTTACAATTATCGTGCTACTGACCGGATGTTTGGCTGTCCCCATGGAAACAGTGGAGGATACATTAGAGAGTCCGTTTAGCAGTTTGTTCCACCGACAATACACGTGTCGGGACTGTGACTGGAAAGTTACTGACGAGCATCACGTGGTACTCCAGGTTGGAGAATGTGCCTACTTGTTCTCTAAGAAATGTTGTTGTATTCAACACTCACAAAGTCAGTGTAGCGTGGAATGTTGAAACACGCAATGACCTTCTTCGGTCACTGAATTTAGAAATATTTTATTTTGAAACTGAAAGAGCTCCTACAAAATTGATGCCACGCGAAATTAGAGCTGATTTGGCGTAAATTGACATGGACTTAGTGGAATTGTGAATCTTAAAACTTATTCACTAGGACACCAAATGATATCGCGAACGCATGGTAAACATTAGAATGTATCACAAATTTATCTCTCCTGTGACAATGGGACATTAACAGAGATTATCTGTGGTGTGTGATCCCATCTTTTTCAACAGTAAATATCCTTTGTAACGTGAATTAATTCAAAAGTTTTCAATACTTTTGGACAATAGCAATCTCATTCGTCATATCTCGGCAAACAAGCGGAAACAGACGAGATTAGGCGAATGGTACGGAATCAGCCGGAATGTGACGAGTGCACTGCAAAAGGATTCTCTTGACAGCTTGTACATTAATCACAAACATAATGATATTAGCTAGATCTGAACAACTTTGACATTCACAAATCCAACAGTCCGTGTAGAAGTTTGTAAACGTAACTAAATCCTAACCATTTGGCTTAATTTCACGTTAAGAAGAATAAATGATTTTGGTTTATATTGCAATTGTTGTTGTTGTGTTATTATAAGTACACTTAAAAGTCATCTTCCAGAGCCAAGGGTCACTACAATATTTTAACGGTAATCATCAATTGTAATCCTTGGAATGATGATATTTCAAATCAGTTTGGAGGATTCCATCGCAGCCATGTAATACACGTAATTGGTAATTTAAAATGTAATAAAACCTGTGGTCTTGATGGTTTGTTACATGTGGAGGGGGAGGGGGATGTAATAGATAAAAAAAAAGCGGTAAGCAGCTGTCCTGGCAAATCAATGAGAGATTTATCAAAATAGATAAAACTTATTTTATCATTACTCTGATTAATAAAACTCTTAAAAATCGTCGTGGATTTTATTGTTCTTTTATTGATTGCTTTTGATTGGTTTGTCGTCAAATCTTCGGCATGGCATTATTAAGGAAGGGAGGGAGAGGAACTTTCTGAAAATTATCAGAACTCGGTATGACAACGTAAGATGTTGTGTTAAATACAGCGGTATTACTTAACTTGCTAATGATTTAGAAATGGATTTTATAAAAGACTGTTGTTCTTCTATAGGAATCCAAACTATCGACCTTATATTTTTACTGATGTATGCAGATGACATGGTCATTTTATCTGAAACACCAGATGACTTACAGAAAATGATAGATTCGTTAGACGGGTATACACGATGTAGTAGAAAATGATTCGTTAGACAGGTATACATGATGTAGTAGAAAATGATAGATTCGTTAGACGGGTATACACGATGTAGTAGAAAATGATAGATTCGTTAGACGGGTATACACGATGTAGTAGAAAATGATAGATTCGTTAGACGGGTAAACACGATGTAGTAGAAAATGATAGATTCGTTAGACGGGTAAACACGATGTAGTAGAAAATGATAGATTCGTTAGACGGGTAAACACGATGTAGTAGAAAACGATAGATTCTTTAGACGGGTATACACGATGTAGTAGAAAATGATTCGTTAGACAGGTATACATGATGTAGTAGAAAATGATAGATTCGTTAGACGGGTATACACGATGTAGTAGAAAATGATAGATTCGTTAGACGGGTATACACGATGTAGTAGAAAATGATAGATTCGTTAGACGGGTATACACGATGTAGTAGAAAATGATAGATTCGTTAGACGGGTATACACGATGTAGTAGAAAATGAGAAAATGATAGAGAAAATGATAGATTCGTTAGACGGGTCGTTAGACGGGTAAACACGATGTAGTAGAAAATGATAGATTCGTTAGACGGGTAAACACGATGTAGTAGAAAATGATAGATTCGTTAGACGGGTATACACGATGTAGTAGAAAATGATAGATTCGTTAGACGGGTATACACGATGTAGTAGAAAATGATAGATTCGTTAGACGGGTTCGTAGTAGAAAATGATAGATTCGTTAGACGGGTATACACGATGTAGTAGAAAATGATAGATTCGTTACGGGTATACACGATGTAGTAGAAAATGATAGATTCGGGTATACACGATGTAGTAGAAAATGATAGATTCGTAGTAGAAAATGATAGATTCGTTAGACGGGTAAACACGATGTAGTAGAAAATGATAGATTCGTTAGACGGGTATGATAGATTCACGGGTATGAAAATGATAGTAGAAAATGATAGATGATCGTTAGACGGGTATACACGATGTAGTAGAAAATGATAGATTCGTTAGACGGGTATACACGATGTAGTAGAAAATGATAGATTCGTTAGACGGGTAAACACGATGTAGTAGAAAATGATAGATTCGTTAGACGGGTAAACACGATGTAGTAGAAAATGATAGATTCGTTAGACGGGTAAATACGATGTAGTAGAAAATGATAGATTCGTTAGACGGGTAAACACGATGTAGTAGAAAATGATAGATTCGTTAGACGGGTAAACACGATGTAGTAGAAAATGATAGATTCGTTAGACGGGTAAACACGATGTAGTAGAAAATGATAGATTCGTTAGACGGGTAAACATGATGTAGTAGAAAATGGAGTATAACTATCAATGACAGTAAGACAAACATAATCCTCTCTAGGAATGGTGGTTTGATACGTTTGAAGGAGAAATGGTTTAACGATAATGAAAAAATCGAAAAAGTCGATGAATTTAACTTTTTTTGACTAAATTTAAATTTTAATAAAAAATTATAAAAATTCAAAATAGACTTGCAGCGCAAGAAGGAAATACTTTATACGCGGTGAATAATGTTTGTAGAAAGAATCTTTTTAATATTGAATCCCGTCTTGCTGTTTCTGACTTATGTATAAAGTATTTTAGCGTATGGTTCTGAAACCAGGGTTTATCACAAAGCTCCAGAAATTGTAAAATACTCCATATCTCATTTCTTAAGTCATTACTAGGACTAAGAAAGTCAGCAAGTACTGTTATACATTGAGTTAAGAAGATTTCTATATATATTCAGAATTTTCAAACATTGGCTAAAGCTAAAATTTTCTAATTATTGTGTACTCAAATCGTGTTATGATGATATGGTGAAAAACAATGACCCTTGGATCCTTAATTTAAAATGTGACCTTTCAACTGTCGGCCTTGAGCACGTGTTTGAAAACGTGAATAACAGTTCTACTAAATTTTATAGTATTTTTATTTTTTTTATTAATAACGTTTATTTGACAATTTTCAACAGCAATGTCTTATGAAAATTCATTCTCCATCCAAAAGGATTTTTATACCAACATCTGGTTGAAAGTATAACTCCAGTCATACCTACATAATCAGTTAATTTTAATTTTCAGAAACTTTTTCGATGATCCGTTTATCTGTGCATGATTTATCAGTTGAACGCGGGCGATACAGGGACATACCAAGGGAAGAAAGAAAGTGAATTTTCTGTAATGAGAACGATAAGGAAGACAAACATCATTCTATTATTAAATGTCAGTGTTATTCAGATATTCGTACTAATTTTATTAAGCCATATCATTTTAATAAGCCTAGTATGTTCAAATATTCAGTTACTTACATTCGATAATATAAAAGAACTTAATCATTTAAGTAAGTGTCAAACATCAGGAAATAAATGTAGGCAAGATTTATTGTCACAATTTATTTAGTATTTTCGTGATTTCCTCCAAAAATAGTATACCAACATAATGGCTGGTGTTATAGTGTACATAGATAATGTCGTTGTCCTTTTAATTGTTGGTTATCCGATCCGTTGTATAAATTACAGAAATTAATTAACTGAATAGCCATTGTACAGTTTTACGAATTCTTCCTGATTGGTCAAAGGTAATGCATTACATCATTGACACAAAAACGTTTGAATAAAATATCTGTTTGGGACACAATTTGTATTGTCTGTAGGTTTGTTGATTACAATGTCTGAATCATACAGAAGGTTAAAAGAGGATATTTACAAAGCATGTGCCTGATATCTTATCCTTTTGCATTTTTTTGTTAGTGAAATTTTGTTGAAATTGAAAATGGAAGTAATGCTTGTAATGATTGAAGCAGAATCATGATAATTTTTTCCAGAAAGAATTTTACAGAAAGGATAATCCTTGTGGAATCACAATGACCGTGGAACCAGTTGACCCATCCTTGATACTCTAGTAGTTGTGATCACTCTCTTTCTCCTCATCCCTGGAATACGTCATGGCAACACCTTGTAGACAAGACGAAAAGACTAGTTTGATCCTTTGATGGATATCAAACGAATCTCGAGATCGCATTACACTATATTGTACTGGCTTTGAAGTTGGGTGTCGTTCCTTTGTAATTTACAAAAGTAACGGAACAGCCTGTGGTTGGTCAGTTTTCTTCTCCTGAAACCAATCTAATTACTTTGCTTATGCCTTCAATTTTGCCAGGAGATGTTCCAGGGGTGTGAAGAGCGAAAGTGGTCGTACCCCTGGAGAATCGAGGATTCAGCTGAACGGCCAATCGGCAACGGAACAGAGTGAAGTCCCGTATTGCTCAAACTTCTGTCGGTGGAACTGCGGCTAACGCACACATCAACGTTCCACTATCCACTGAGCCTGTAGGCAGTGGTAAATGAACCTCGTCTTGTCCGTCTTCTCTATCTGTAGTCTGTCGAAGTCTGCCAGAACTGGGACACTCCCCAAAATGCCCGGTTTGGTTCATACGTTGCATTAACTGAGAAATGACAGGATGACTGACATTAAAGTGTGCATCATAAGCCAAATGGAATAGAGATTTAAATGTGAACATAGAAACTAAGATAGGTTGGAGTAAAATATATACATTACCAAAATACTGTACAATAGAAACAAAAATGCAAAATTTTCAATTTAAACTACTACACAGAATTTTGACTACTAAGGAGTTTTTATATAAAATCAAAATTACTGGTGATGATAAATGTACATTTTGTAAAAATGAAACTGAAACACTAATACATTTGTTTTTCAATTGTGTAATTGTTAAAAGAATTTGGAATGAATTTAAGGTATGGATAAATTCAGTAAGTGATAATTTTGAAATTGATTTTTTCGATGCTTATGACATACTCTTCATTTGTGAAAAGGGCCCAAAAGTTATAAATCATCTGATCCTAACCATGAAATATTACATTTATATCTGCCGATACAAAGAAATTCAACCAACATTTACAGAATGTAAAACTCTCATTTATCAACAAAATGAAACTGAAAAATTTATTTCAAAAATTAATAATTCATTTGAAAAATATCAAGCAAAATGGTCTCCCCTGAACATTTAAAGGGACAAAACTACATCCTACACAGCAAAGTGACAGCCTTACTTTCTCAATCAGGTAGTGATTTATATATATATGTTATCGTATTAATGTCAAGATTATTGGTATATCAATGTTAAAATTTGTTTTGTATTGTTACTGTATATGTAAAGTATGTCCATGTTTTGTATGTATTGTATATGTCATTGTCTTTTGTTAATAAAAGTTTTGAAAAAAGAAAAAGTGTGCATCATTGTCAACAAAGCAGACATTCGGAAAAGTACTTTATTTTATCACTGAGTTGACATTTTATCACACCTACAATCAAGACAGAATCTGACATTTCTACAGCGTTCTTTTGATCTGGTCACATCGAATGGCGCGCCCTGCCTCATACATCTGTTCTCTATTACACGGGTGTGTGCAATGAATCACAGAATGCCTGTTTTTCCCTCTGCTACCTTGATTCTTCAGACGAATTTTCTTGATTCCGAACCCGTCACCTAGAACCAATCGCCGGTTATAGGGGTCGAACAATGACAGCACCAATAAAACCAAACTGAGGAAATATAATTTTGAAAAAAAAGTCAATTCACACACGAAAAAAATATTGAAAAAGGTGTGAGAAATATTCTTTTCTGTGTGTGATCAGAAGCTGGACGTGTTTGATGTTCGTTAGTCTGTCTGTTGGTTCCGTTGTGTGATATGAAGCTGGACGTGTTTGATGTTCGTTAGTCTGTCTGTTGGTTCCGTTGTGTGATATGAAGCTGGACGTGTTTGATGTTCGTTAGTCTGTCTGTTGGTTCCGTTGTGTGATATGAAGCTGGACGTGTTTGATGTTCGCTAGTCTGTCTGTTGGTTCCGTTGTGTGATATGAAGCTGGACGTGTTTGATGTTCGTAAGTCTGTCTGCTGGTTTCGTTGTGTGATATGAAGCTGGACGTGTTTGATGTTCGTTAGTTTGTCTGTTGGTTCCGTTGCGTGATATGAAGCTTGACGTGTTTGGTGTTCGTTAGTTTGTTGGTTCCGTTGTGTGATATGAAGCTGGACGTGTTTGATGTTAGTTAGTTTGTCTGTTGGTTTCGTTGCATGATATGAAGCTTGACGTGTTTGGTGTTCGTTAGTTTGTTGGTTCCGTTATGTGATATGAAGCTGGACGTGTTTGATGCTGGTTAGTTTGTCTGTTGGTTCCGTTGTGTGATATGAAGCTGGACGTGTTTGATGTTAGTTAGTCTGTCTGTTGGTTCCGTTGTGTGATATGAAGCTGGACGTGTTTGATGCTCGTTAGTTTGTCTGCTGGTTCCGTTGTGTGATATGAAGCTGGACGTGTTTGATGCTCGTTAGTTTGTCTGTTGGTTCCGTTGTGTGATATGAAACTGGACGTGTTTGATGCTCGTTATGCTGTCTGTTGGTTCCGTTGTGTGGTATAAAGCTGGATGTTTTTGAAGCTCGTTAGTCTGTCTGTTGGTTCCGTTGTGTGATATGAAGCTGGACGTGTTTGATGTTCGTAAGTCTGTCTGTTGGTTCCGTTGTGTGATATGAAGCTGGACGTGTTTGATGTTCGCTAGTCTGTCTGTTGGTTCCGTTGTGTGATATGAAGCTGGACGTGTTTGATGTTCGTTAGTCTGTCTGTTGGTTCCGTTGTGTGATATGAAGCTGGACGTGTTTGATGTTCGTAAGTCTGTCTGCTGGTTTCGTTGTGTGATATGAAGCTGGACGTGTTTGATGTTAGTTAGTTTGTCTGTTGGTTCCGTTGTGTGATACGAAGCTGGACGTGTTTGATGTTAGTTAGTTTGTCTGTTGGTTCCGTTGCATGATATGAAGCTTGACGTGTTTGGTGTTCGTTAGTTTGTTGGTTCCGTTATGTGATATGAAGCTGGACGTGTTTGATGTTCGTTAGTTTGTCTGTTGGTTCCGTTGTGTGATATGAAGCTGGACGTGTTTGATGTTCGTTAGTCTGTCTGTTGGTTCCGTTGCGTGATATGAGGCTGGACGTGTTTGATGTTCGTTAGTTTGTCTGTTGGTCCGTTGTTTTAGACATTGTTCTCATTTGAGAACGTGACATCACTTACTACGATTGACCAAGGTTTATATGGCGGGTGTCATTGATAAAACAGACAACGCTTACTCTTCTGGAATACCTGGTAGTCTTGTACTTTGCAAGAGTATCCGTGTAAATCTTTCCTCTGTTCATGTTTTGCCCTAGTTTGATGAATTTGTGTTTGGATTATGATTATATCGCCATGTACGTATTTTCTTGACATTTTTCAAAATGAATATTAGAAAATACGGAAATATTAACACAATCTTAATTAAAACTAACTAACGATGAGACGAAGGTAAAACATGAATAAAAATCTACTCTGAGACTCCTGCACGGAGAATAAGACCAGGGGTTCCAGAAGAATAAGCGTCTTATGCTTCATCGACGACACCGGTAATGTAAACCATGGTCAATCGAAAAACAAATATTTCAGAAGAGGATGTATTCAAAATTGGTAAAAATTACTTTGAAATCAGAATTCATAACAAACACACACAATTGATACCATCTCATGAAAGACTGAAGCCTTGATTTGATACTAACAAGAATGGTAATAGGAAATTAAAACAAGCGGCCCAGAGGGCCTGTATCGCTCACTTGGATCTTTATGACAAATATTACTATATCTGTGCATATGTTCCACGTTTAACACATTTGACCCCAGTGACCTTGACTATGGGTCAATGTCATTTCTTTTACTTTCTTGGACTTCATAAAAGGAACATACTAGCCAAATACAATTATTCTAGGCTTTTCGATATTTCAGAAGAAATTGTTTAAACGTTTTAACACATTTGACTCCTGTGACCTTGAATATGGGACAAGGTCATTTCTTTTAGCAAACTTTGTAGGGCATCATCAAAGGAATCTTCCAGCCATATATAATGATTCTAGGCCTTCTGGTATTTTGGAAGAAGTCACTTAAATGTTTTAATACATTTGACCTCTATGACCTTGAATATGGGTCAAGGTTATTTTTTTTAACTTTGTTAGGCTTCATCAAAGGAACTATCCAGCCAAATATAATGATTCTACGCCTTCCAGTATTTTGGAAGAAGTCGCTTAAAGTTTTTAACACATTTGACCTCAGTGACCTTGAATATGAGTCAAGGTCATTTCTTTTTGCAAAATTTGTTGGGCTTTATCAAAGGAAGCTTTCAGTCATATATAACGATTCTAGGCCTTCCGGTATTTTGGAAGAAGTCGCTTCAAGGTTTTAAAACATTTGACCTCTATGACCTTGAATGTGGGTCAAGGTTATTTTTTTTAACTTTGTTAGGCTTCATCAAAGGAACTATCCAGCCAAATATAATGATTCTACGCCTTCCAGTATTTTGGAAGAAGCCGTTGAAAGGTTTTAACACATTTGACTTCAGTGACCTTGAATATGAGTCAAATTCATTTCTTTTTACAAACTTTGTTAAGCTTCATCAAAAGAACTATCCAGCCAAATATAATGATTCTAGGCCTTTCAGTATTTTGGAAGAAGTCGTTTAAAGGTTTTAACACATTTGACCTCTGTGACCTTGAATATGGGTCAAGGTTATTTTTTGATAACCCTTTGGGCCAGGTGAGCTAAAAAATGAAATGGAGGACCAGTCAGACATGCGAGCATTCAGCATTCCCTCACCATCAACCTGTAATCTGATTTATCATACTACTGAAGCATAGTTAGACAGTACTTCGTGTCTGGAAGGTCTAAATCATCATGAAAGACTGGTCAGTTGTATAATTAAGGTTTATCAAGTAAGACTGGTCAGTTGTATATTTAAGGTTTATCAAGTAAGACTGGTTAGTTGTATATTTAAGGTTTATCAGTTGTAGTTGTATAATTAAGGTTTATCAAGTAAGACTGGTTAAGGTTTATCAAGTAAGACTGCTTAGTTGTATAATTAAGGTTTATCAAGTATATTGTAAATTAAGGTTTATCAAGTAAGACTGCTTAGTTGTATAATTAAGGTTTATCAAGTAAGACTGGTTTGTTGTATAATTAAGGTTTATCAAGTAAGACTGCTTAGTTGTATAATTAAGGTTTATCAAGTAAGACTGGTTAGTTGTATAATTAAGGTTTATCAAGTAAGACTGCTTAGTTGTATAATTAAGGTTTATCAAGTAAGACTGGTTTGTTGTATAATTAAGGTTTATCAAGTAAGACTGCTTAGTTGTATAATTAAGGTTTATCAAGTAAGACTGCTTAGTTGTATAATTAAGGTTTATCAAGTAGACTAATAATTAAGGTTTATCAAGTAAGACTGGTTTATCAAGTTGCTTAGTTGTATAATTAAGGTTTATCAAGTAAGACTGGTTTGTTGTATAATTAAGGTTTATCAAGTAAGACTGGTTAGTTGTAAACGGGCAATTGCCTTGTTTTCATTATAGATCTTTAGTTGTGAATTCTTTTTAAAATGGTGGACCAAATGGACCCTTTTGTTATGACTTTGTTTAGTAAGGTACAAAAGATGGGGACTTGGCAGGTATTTCCAACCCATGGTCCATATATATGTATTCCGTATACGACCACAATAATACATATATATGGACCATTGTTTGGGAATTTGGCTAAACTGATATGGTCCAAATTTGGGATAAAAAATGGACTTGTGCATTTTTAGCCTGCTAATTCTTCAAAGAATTATAGACTGAATCAATATGTTCCCGAATCCAGTTCATGGAAGAATTTCAGGAGATTTGGAACCTCGATGACAAATCTCGTAGCTTAAGAGATTTGATAATGAGAAGATCGCCAGGGACTATACTAGTCCAGCTGAACCATTGATCTACATAAGGAGACATAAAACAAGATCATGGTGCTGCAGCATAACTTTTCTAATTTTTTTTTAGGAATTAATGAAAAATGGAATGTTAAAACAAAAATCTAAGATCCTGTCAATTTAGATGTAAGAGGTACATCATACAATTTGGAATATCTATATTTAGTGTATATTGACAGAACATTAGAAACATTGTAATATTCAGGGAAATGAAAATATCATATGTGACTCAATCCTACTGTCTTAATGGTTACGAGGAAGCATGAGATTTGTACCAAGTCATTAATGATCTTGAGTAAGTTATCATTGTTTGGAAACATTTCAGAAGTTCTAGTTTTTGAAAATTTAAGATTCTAGTTCTTTCTTATTGGAACGAAATTGAGAGATATATGAAATGTCACGATTTCGAGAAAGAAGAAAGTACGAGTCATTTGATTCAATTTTAAATCGCTGTGAGTAATGTAGTCACTCTATATACTTAAACTTTTACGATACAGTTTATAAGACATTTACAATTTCTCGAAACCTTGGATTTTTTTATTATCATTATTATGTTTTTGCATGTGCTTCTTAATTGTGTCAGTTCTGACTTGTATCACTGACGACATTGAACTTTTAATGGGGTCAATATGACATACATAAAACTGTAGCTTAAAGCTTTAGGATGACATGTTATACATAGGTCCTTCTATACGATAGTTTCAATGACTAGAAAACGATTTTGTGTCTTTACGATGTTTCTGTATTTGTTACATTTTCCCTTTGATTTATTTTTAAAGTGATATTATTTTCACCATTGTCCTTCTGTCTTTTTCTTGTTAAAATACTACAAACTCCTAAAATCACTTATTGTATTATGTGTTCCTTTTTATTTCAACACTCCCAACTGTACTGAAATGGCATCAATTGAAATAGGTCAACTATGAATCATATTCGTCAAGCCATGCCGCACCTAGTTATCGTTCGTTTCACTGACGATACATCAGGATCAGTTGGTAGATTTATTGCTTACCGTCACCTAGAACCTTTAAGATCTACCAATATCTCAATAATTCAAGATGAGACCATCTATTTTTATATGACGCTTGCTTTCTGGAGTAATCTTGTCGCTCGACCATACCGGAAGGGAATTCCTTTAAGGTATTTCCCAGTTTTGAAAACGAGGCCGTATGCATATTAGTGACGTCATGACAGAAAATGGCGGCTACCAAGTCGAAATGGCTCCTTTATGTCTTAGCTTCGTAAATGTTGATAATGTCTGTGAACAGCAACAGAGAATTACACCAGAACGATGCTCCACTGCAGCAGGGACATACTATACCTGAAAGAATGGGTGAGATGTCATTTCAAACTCATAATTTGGCATGTTTTACCTACAGGTAACTCGGTCACTTGTAAACAAATGCTAGCCTCAAAGACTGCAAAAGACAAACATTTTACTTAAAAGCATTCAATGCCGTTCTATGGTATACACGTGGATGCTGGCAGACATTTTCCTTATATCCTGTCATCAAAGATGGTGGCAGGGAATGTTAGGATGGTATCAATGGAAAAATGGCGGCATTCGATTTCGAAAATTTGACATCTGCAATCCGCCAGTGAAGAGGTCAAGTCTCTTTTATGAAAGATGTCTTTTTTTCATTCATATGAAATATATATTCTTAGACAGGTGTGATCCTAAAATAGCGAAGTGCCTGATTATAGACCTTAGAGCAACATAAACTATGAACAACATATCATACAGAAATAACAGACAAGTGTGCAACATGCGATGAAAACAAAAAGTGCAGAAGAAGCAAATAATGACTGGGATTAGTAACCATGGGCCATAGGAATGATTGAAGTGATTTGACAAGATCTTGTCCCAGTTGTCTTTGTTTATTTTAGTTGGATAGAGTAATTGTGAACAATATTTCACAGAACACCATGAGTACATATCTATGTACATAGTTTGATATATTTTACCAGGTACACATACCACCATGAGCACATCTGTATGTTCATTGTATGATATATTTCACGAGGTAGAATCTCATGAGTTAAATTAGAATTTGAGTAATGCTACCAATTGTGAAAAAAAGAGGAATGTTTTGTCTGATTTAGGAAATGGACAGCCCTTTTCCATTCCAATTCAATTCAAATAAGAGACAGGGTAGGAATATGTGCCTCACGTCAAGATTATATAAATAAGACATGACAATGTTGAGGTTAGATCAGTATTTCTTGTTATCATAGTGTGATCTAAGTGTTAAGTAATATGTACTCATTGATTCTGTGTTGGGGAAACTTTTACCACATTTTCATTATATTTTCTTGATGGGGAATTCGTTTACACTAGAGAAAACATGCCACTTTGGGATGACTACCCTTTTCCGTAAGTGGAATTTGTCTAGATTAATCCCTGTAGAATAATGGCAAGGTATACTGTAAATATATGGATTTAATATGACATTTTAAAGTTGAAAATATGTACTGTTATGACAGAATTGTCATCAATGTTATGTCAAACAATATTGTGATTACTAGCCATTTCATAGATTCATTCTGCCTCAATGGTCTACCTGTTCATGTCGTATAATCTGTCAGGGGATCTGTTTAATGATAATTTCAGGAACGTTATGTATGACTGTTAATATGTACATTTCATAAGTCATTGATACTGTGTTGTATATAAGGTATGGGTATATAGACTTTTAGATTGTGTTTGATTAAATCGCTACGAAATGAAATCACTTAAAAATTTCAGACGGAGGATCAGAATAACACATACAGTATGAGTCTAAAAAGTCATTTGCTATCTGAGAAAGGCAGTGCTTAGCCGTCCTGGTCCAAAAAGTCATTCTCCATCTGAGATATGCAGTGATAAGACCTGCTGGTCCAAAAAGTCATTCGCTATCTGAGATACGCAGTGCTAAGCCCTGTTGGTCCAAAAAGTCATTCGCTATCTGAGATACGCAGTGCTAAGACCTGCTGGTCCAAAAAGTCATTCACTGTCTGATATACGCAGTGCTAAGACCTGCTGGTCCAAAAAGTCATTCACTGTCTGATATACGCAGTGCTAAGACCTGCTGGTCCGAAAAGTCATTCACTGTCTGATATATGCAGTGCTAAGACCTGCTGGTCCAAAAAGTCATTCACTGTCTGATATACGCAGTGCTAAGACCTGCTGGTCCGAAAAGTCATTCACTGTCTGATATACGCAGTGTTAAGCCCTGCTCATGGATTAACAACACAAATATAATGGAGTGAATTCAGTGGGTTAGTTTATAAAGCCAAGATATGTGAACAGATGTGAATTTTATCAATTCTGATATAATTTCTCAAATTTTCCTTAGAATGTCACAAAATTTCTGCAGTTTTGAGACAAATAATGATCTTTAAATAATCAAAAAAGTTTCGGACAATAAGGAATATGTTCTTAGTCATCATTCAATGTAGCAATAAGTCTAAAGATGGCCATTTCTGTCACTTAGTTTTCATACAATTTCTCAATACTTTACCAATATTACTTGACACAAGTTTGTACACAATTTCTGAATACTTTACCGATATTACTTGACACAAGACTCTCCAGGGAATGAAAAACTTCAGTAGGTTTTTTTATTTGATGTTGCAGAGAGCTTTGGTGATAATGCTGTGACAATGAATGGAGACTTGGAGGAAGGAACACAGGGTCAGTTGTTCATCTGTCATCAGGAGGAAGAGGCAAAGTAAGTATCTACAGGTCATACACAGGGTACTGGTCAGTATCTGTGAGACAGACATACACAGGGTGCTGGTCAGTATCTGTGAGACAGACATACACAGGGTGCTGGTCAGTATCTGTGAGACAGACATACACAGGGTACTGGTCAGTATCTGTGAGACAGACATACACAGGGTGCCGGTCAGTATCTGTGAGACAGACATACACAGGGTGCTGGTCAGTATCTGTGAGACAGACATACACAGGGTACTGGTCAGTATCTGTGAGATAGACATACACAGGGTACTGGTCAGTATCTGTTAGACAGACATACACAGGGTGCCAGTCAGTATCTGTGAGACAGACATACACAGGGTGCCGGTCAGTATCTGTGAGACAGACATACACAGGGTACCGGTCAATATCTGTGAGACAGACATACACAGGGTACTGGTCAGTATCTGTGAGATAGACATACACAGGGTACCGGTCAGTATCTGTGAGACAGACATACACAGGGTGCCGGTCAGTATCTGTGAGACAGACATACACAGGGTACTGGTCAGTATCTGAGACACAGACATACACAGGGTACTGGTCAGTATCTATGAGACAGACATACACAGGGTACAGGTCAGTATCTGTGAGACAGACATACACAGGGTACCGGTCAGTATCTGTGAGACAGACATACACAGGGTACCGGTCAGTATCTGTGAGACAGACATACACAGGGTACTGGTAGGTATCTGTGAGACAGACATAACAGGACATACACAGGGTACTGGTCAGTATCTGAGAGACAGACATACACAGGGTACTGGTCAGTATCTGTGAGATAGATATACACAGGGTACCGGTCAGTATCTGTGAGACAGACATACACAGGGTGCCGGTCAGTATCTGTGAGACAGACATACACAGGGTACCGGTCAATATCTGTCAGACAGACATACACTGGGTACTGGTCAGTATCTGTGAGACAGACCTACACAGGGTACTGGTCAGTATCTGTGAGACAGACATACACAGGGTACAGGTCAGTATCTGTGAGACAGACATACACAGGGTACCGGTCAGTATCTGTGAGACAGACATACACAGGGTACCGGTCAGTATCTGTGAGACAGACATACACAGGGTACTGGTAGGTATCTGTGAGACAGACATAACAGGACATACACAGGGTACTGGTCAGTATCTGAGAGACAGACATACACAGGGTACTGGTCAGTATCTGTGAGATAGATATACACAGGGTACCGGTCAGTATCTGTGAGACAGACATACACAGGGTGCCGGTCAGTATCTGTGAGACAGACATACACAGGGTACCGGTCAATATCTGTCAGACAGACATACACTGGGTACTGGTCAGTATCTGTGAGACAGACCTACACAGGGTACTGGTCAGTATCTGTGAGACAGACATACACAGGGTACAGGTCAGTATCTGTGAGACAGACATACACAGGGTACCGGTCAGTATCTGTGAGACAGACATACACAGGGTACTGGTAGGTATCTGTGAGACAGACATAGCAGGACATACACAGGGTACTGGTCAGTATCTGTGAGACAGACATAGCAGGACATACACAGGGTACTGGTCAGTATCTGAGAGACAGACATACACAGGGTACTGGGCAGTATCTGTGAGACAGACATACACAGGGTACAGGTCAGTATCTGTGAGACAGACTTACACAGGGTACTGGTCAGTATCTGAGACAGACATAGCAGGACATACACAGGGTACTGGTCAGTATCTGAGAGACAGACATACACAGGGTACTGGTCAGTATCTGTGAGACAGACATACACAGGGTACCGGTCAGTATCTGTGAGACAGACATACACAGGGTACTGGTCAGTATCTGTAAGACAGACATACACAGGGTACTGGTCAGTATCTGTGAGACAGACATACACAGGTTACCGGTCAGTATCTGTGAGACAGACATACACAGGGTACTGGTCAGTATCTGTGAGACAGATATAGCAGGACATACACTGGGTACCGGTCAGTATCTGTGAGACAGACATAGCAGGACATACACAGGGTACTGGTCAGTATCTGTGAGACAGACATAGCAGGACATACACAGGGTACTGGTCAGTATCTGTGAGACAGACTTACACAGGGGACCGGTCAGTATCTGTGAGACAGACATACACTGGGTACTGGTCAGTATCTGTGAGACAGACATAGCAGGACATACACAGGGTACTGGTCAGTATCTGAGAGACAGATATACACAGGGTACCGGTCAGTATCTGTGAGACATACATACACAGGGTACTGGTCAGTATCTGTGAGACAGACATACGCAGGGTACTGGTCAGTATCTGTGAGACAGACATACGCAGGGTACTGGTCAGTATCTGTGAGACAGACATACACAGGGTACTGGTCAGTATCTGTGAGACAGACATACACAGGGTACTGGTCAGTATCTGTGAGACAGACTTACACAGGGTACTGGTCAGTATCTGTGAGACAGACATACACAGGGTACCGGTCAGTATCTGTGAGACAGACATACACAGGGTACCGGTCAGTATCTGTGAGACAGACATACACAGGGTACTGGTCAGTATCTGTGAGACAGACATACACAGGGTACCGGTCAGTATCTGTGAGGCAGACATACACAGGGTACCGGTCAGTATCTGTGAGACAGACATACACAGGGTACCGGTCAGTATCTGTGAGACAGACATACACAGGGTACCGGTCAGTATCTGTGAGACAGACATACACAGGGTACCGGTCAGTATCTGTGAGACAGACATACACAGGGTACCGGTCAGTATCTGTGAGACAGACATACACAGGGTACCGGTCAGTATCTGTGAGACAGACATACACAGGGTACCGGTCAGTATCTGTGAGACAGACATACACAGGGTACCGGTCAGTATCTGTGAGACAGACATACACAGGGTACCGGCTCATAAATTATCATAGTTAGAATCATGAGATAGATGTTAATGTTTGTCAACCAAAGTATTTTTATGACAAAAACAAATCTAAGAAACAAGCCATAATTGGTGAAGCCATTCAACAGACAATATAACTAAGTTACAGACTGATTGTTGTCAAGCTGGTCAATGTGGAGATAAAATTCACCCGATATTTTGTATTACACAAAAACGACATCATTTATAGAACATAGGTGACTTGAGTCTCCTGTTTTGTGTGAAGATATTCAGAATTCCAGACATCAACAATATCAATGAAGTTTCTTTTTTAAATGAATTGTTTTTCCTCGTAAACTAATATTACCCCCATTTTTATGTTTCCAACCCTTGTGTGTTTCAGTCCCCTGAGACAGAGGGAGAGGAAAAGAAGTGTTCACAACTCCATGGAGAAGAAAAGGAAGGAGAAAATCCGGTATTTTATTAACAAGATCGGAGAACTCCTCCCACCTGTTGACAGCGCGGAGAAAGAAAAAATTGGAAGGGTATGCAGGCTCCATTGGAAGAGATCTATAATGGGCATGTTCATTGATTGTGGATAAAAGTAGAAACTGAAAATTATGTAGTCTTGGAACTTTTTAAAGGTCTGATGACTTTTATAAAACAAACATTCTTTGATATTATTGTCATATAATTTTGTTCTCCAACACAGCAAGTGGATGCATAGGAATACAATTTCTTTGAGTAGAAACAAATTACACTTTGTGAAGTTCACTGTGTTATCAACCCAACATTTTTTTTTTAAAACTGCCTATCATTTTCAACTTATTAAAAAGATAAATATATCTTTTTCAAATCAAAATTTCCTAAGAACTAAAGTTCTTAATTATGTAATATTGGTGTTAATTCTATCTCCCCCCAATTATAGTGTAATATTGGTGTTAATTCTATCTCCCCCCAATAATAATGTAATATTGGTGTTAATTCTATCTCCCCCCAATAATAATGTAATATTGGTGTTAATTCTATCTCCCCCCCAATAATAATGTAATATTGGTGTTAATTCTATCTCCCCAATAATAATGTAATATTGGTGTTAATTCTATCTCCCCCCAATAATAATGTAATATTGGTGTTAATTCTATCTCCCCCCAATAATAATGTAATATTGGTGTTAATTCCAAATCCCCCCCCCCAATAATAATGTAATATTGGTGTTAATTCTATCTCCCCCCAATAATAATGTAATATTGGTGTTAATTCTATCTCCCCCCAATAATAATGTAATATTGGTGTTAATTCTATCTCCCGCCAATAATAATGTAATGTTGGTGTTAATTCTATCTCCCCCCAATAATAATGTAATATTGGTGTTAATTCTATCTCCCCCCCCAATAATAATGTAATATTGGTGTTAATTCTATCTCCCCAATAATAATGTAATATTGGTGTTAATTCTATCTCCCCCCAATAATAATGTAATATTGGTGTTAATTCTATCTCCCCAATAATAATGTAATGTTGGTGTTAATTCTATCTCCCCAATAATAATGTAATATTGGTGTTAATTCTATCTCCCCCCAATAATAATGTAATATTGGTGTTAATTCTATCTCCCCCCAATAATAATGTAATATTGGTGTTAATTCTATCTCCCGCCCCCCCCCCCAATAATAATGTAATATTGGTGTTAATTCTATCTCCCCCCAATAATAATGTAATATTGGTGTTAATTCTATCTCCCCCCAATAATAGTGTAATATTGGTGTTAATTCTATCTCCCCCCAATAATAATGTAATATTGGTGTTAATTCTATCTCCCCCCAATAATAATGTAATATTGGTGTTAATTCTATCTCCCCCCAATAATAATGTAATATTGGTGTTAATTCTATCTCCCCCCAATAATAATGTAATATTGGTGTTAATTCTATCTCCCCCCAATAATAATGTAATATTGGTGTTAATTCTATCTCCCCCCAATAATAATGTAATATTGGTGTTAATTCTATCTCCCCCCAATAATAATGTAATATTGGTGTTAATTCTATCTCCCCCCAATAATAATGTAATATTGGTGTTAATTCTATCTCCCCCCAATAATAATGTAATATTGGTGTTAATTCTATCTCCCCCCAATAATAATGTAATATTGGTGTTAATTCTATCTCCCCCCCAATAATAATGTAATATTGGTGTTAATTCTATCTCCCCCCAATAATAATGTAATATTGGTGTTAATTCTATCTCCCCCCAATAATAATGTAATATTGGTGTTAATTCTATCTCCCCCCAATAATAATGTAATATTGGTGTTAATTCTATCTCCCCCCAATAATACTGTAATATTGGTGTTAATTCTATCTCCCCCCAATAATAATGTAATATTGGTGTTAATTCTATCTCCCCCCAATAATAATGTAATATTGGTGTTAATTCTATCTCCCCCCAATAATAATGTAATATTGGTGTTAATTCTATCTCCCCCCAATAATAATGTAATATTGGTGTTAATTCTATCTCCCCCCCCCCCCCAATAATAATGTAATATTGGTGTTAATTCTATCTCCCCCCAATAATAATGTAATATTGGTGTTAATTCTATCTCCCCCCAATAATAATGTAATATTGGTGTTAATTCTATCTCCCCCCCCCAATAATAATGTAATATTGGTGTTAATTCTATCTCCCCCCAATAATAATGTAATATTGGTGTTAATTCTATCTCCCCCCAATAATAATGTAATATTGGTGTTAATTCTATCTCCCCCCAATAATAATGTAATATTGGTGTTAATTCTATCTCCCCCCAATAATAATGTAATATTGGTGTTAATTCTATCTCCCCCCAATAATCCTGTAATATTGGTGTTAATTCTATCTCCCCCCAATAATAATGTAATATTGGTGTTAATTCTATCTCCCCCCAATAATAATGTAATATTGGTGTTAATTCTATCTCCCCCCAATAATAATGTAATATTGGTGTTAATTCTATCTCCCCCCAATAATAGTGTAATATTGGTGTTAATTCTATCTCCCCCCAATAATAAATAATATTGGTGTAATTTGGTGTTAATTCTATCTCCCCCCAATACTAATGTAATATTGGTGTTAATTCTATCTCCCCCCAATAATAATGTAATATTGGTGTTAATTCTATCTCCCCCCAATAATAATGTAATATTGGTGTTAATTCTATCTCCCCCCAATAATAATGTAATATTGGTGTTAATTCTATCTCCCCCCAATAATAATGTAATATTGGTGTTAATTCTATATCCCCCCCAATAATAATGTAATATTGGTGTTAATTCTATCTCCCCCTAATAATAATGTAATATTGGTGTTAATTCACACTTACAGTAAGGATATTTAGTGTTGTGTACCAGATATTACATTCACACTACAGTAATATTTAATGTTGTGTACCAATCTCACCTGACAGTAAGGATATGTTATGTTGGTGTTAGATATTACATTCACACTACAGTAAGGAATATTAGTGTTGTGTACCAGATATTACATTCACACTGGATATTTAGTGTTGTGTGTGAGATTACATTCACACTACAGTAGCAGGATATTTAGTGTTGTGTACCAGATATTAATACATACAAGAGCTGAAAGTTACAACAAGCAGATTGCTGTGTTGGTAAATAGTATGAGGTTGTGTGTAAGATTACATTCACATTACAGTAAGGATATTTTTTGTGTGTAGTATAACACACTGCAGTAAGGATATTTAGTGTTGTGTGTACCATATTACATTCACACTTACAGTAAGGATATTTAGTGTTGTGTACCAGAGATTACATTCACACTTACAGTAAGGATATTTAGTGTTGTGTGTACCAGAGATTACATTCACACTTACAGTAAGGATATTTAGTGTTGTGTGTACCAGAGATTACATTCACACTTACAGTAAGGATATTTAGTGTTGTGTGTACCAGATATTACATTCACACCTACAGTAAGGATATTTAGTGTTGTGTGTACCAGATATTACATTCACACCTACAGTAAGGATATTTAATGTTGTGTGTACCAGAGATAACATTCACACTTACAGTAAGGATATTTAATGTTGTGTGTACCAGATATTACATTCACACTTACAGTAAGGATATTTAGTGTTGTGTGTACCAGAGATTACATTCACACCTACAGTAAGGATATTTAGTGTTGTGTGTACCAGATATTACATTCACACCTACAGTAAGGATATTTAGTGTTGTGTGTACCAGAGATTACATTCACACTTACAGTAAGGATATTTAGTGTTGTGTGTACCAGATATTACATTCACACTTACAGTAAGGATATTTAGTGTTGTGTGTACCAGAGATTACATTCACACCTACAGTAAGGATATTTAGTGTTGTGTACCAGAGATTACATTCACACCTACAGTAAGGATATTTAGTGTTGTGTACCAGAGATTACATTCACACTTACAGTAAGGATATTTAGTGTTGTGTGTACCAGAGATTACATTCACACCTACAGTAAGGATATTTAGTGTTGTGTGTACCAGAGATTACATTCACACCTACAGTAAGGATATTTAGTGTTGTGTGTACCAGAGATTACATTCACACCTACAGTAAGGATATTTAGTGTTGTGTGTACCAGAGATTACATTCACACCTACAGTAAGGATATTTAGTGTTGTGTGTACCAGAGATTACATTCACACTTACAGTAAGGATATTTAGTGTTGTGTGTACCAGAGATTACATTCACACTTACAGTAAGGATATTTAGTGTTGTGTACCAGAGATTACATTCACACCTACAGTAAGGATATTTAGTGTTGTGTACCAGAGATTACATTCACACTTACAGTAAGGATATTTAGTGTTGTGTGTACCAGAGATTACATTCACACTTACAGTAAGGATATTTAGTGTTGTGTACCAGATATTACATTCACACTTACAGTAAGGATATTTAGTGTTGTGTACCAGAGATAACATTCACACTTACAGTAAGGATATTTAGTGTTGTGTGTACCAGAGATTACATTCACACTTACAGTAAGGATATTTAGTGTTGTGTGTACCAGAGATTACATTCACACTTACAGTAAGGATATTTAGTGTTGTGTGTACCAGAGATTACATTCACACTTACAGTAAGGATATTTAGTGTTGTGTGTACCAGAGATTACATTCACACTTACAGTAAGGATATTTAGTGTTGTGTACCGAGATTACATTCACACTACAGTAAGGATATTTAGTGTTGTGTGTACCAGAGATTACATTCACACTTACAGTAAGGATATTTAGTGTTGTGTACCAGATATTACATTCACACTTACAGTAAGGATATTTAGTGTTGTGTACCAGAGATTACATTCACACCTACAGTAAGGATATTTAGTGTTGTGTGTACCAGACATTACATTCACACTTACAGTAAGGATATTTAGTCTTGTGTACCTTACAGTAAGGATATTTAGTGTTGTGTGTACCAGATATTACATTCACACTTACAGTAAGGATATTTAGTGTTGTGTACCAGATATTACATTCACACTTACAGTAAGGATATTTAGTGTTGTGTGTACCAGAGATTACATTCACACTTACAGTAAGGATATTTAGTGTTGTGTGTACCAGAGATTACATTCACACTTACAGTAAGGATATTTAGTGTTGTGTGTACCAGAGATTACATTCACACTTACAGTAAGGATATTTAGTGTTGTGTGTACCAGAGATTACATTCACACCTACAGTAAGGATATTTAGTGTTGTGTGTACCAGAGATTACATTCACACTTACAGTAAGGATATTTAGTGTTGTGTGTACCAGAGATTACATTCACACTTACAGTAAGGATATTTAGTGTTGTGTGTACCAGAGATTACATTCACACTTACAGTAAGGATATTTAGTGTTGTGTGTACCAGAGATTACATTCACACTTACAGTAAGGATATTTAGTGTTGTGTGTACCAGAGATTACATTCACACTTACAGTAAGGATATTTAGTGTTGTGTGTACCACACCTACAGAGATATACACACCTACAGTAAGGATATTTAGTGTTGTGTACACACACCTACAGTAAGGATATTTAGTGTTGTGTGTACCAGAGATTACATTCACACTTACAGTAAGGATATTTAGTGTTGTGTACCAGACATTACATTCACACCTACAGTAAGGATATTTAGTGTTGTGTACCAGAGATAACATTCACACTTACAGTAAGGATATTTAGTGTTGTGTGTACCAGAGATTACATTCACACTTACAGTAAGGATATTTAGTGTTGTGTGTACCAGAGATAACATTCACACTTACAGTAAGGATATTTAGTGTTGTGTGTACCAGAGATTACATTCACACCTACAGTAAGGATATTTAGTGTTGTGTACCACACCTACAGTAAGGATATTTAGTGTTGTGTACCAGACATTACATTCACACCTACAGTAAGGATATTTAGTGTTGTGTGAGATAACATTCACACCTACAGTAAGGATATTTAGTGTTGTGTACCAGACATTACATTCACACCTACAGTAAGGATATTTAGTGTTGTGTACCAGAGATAACATTCACACCTACAGTAAGGATATTTAGTGTTGTGTACCAGACATTACATTCACACCTACAGTAAGGATATTTAGTGTTGTGTACCAGACATTACATTCACACCTACAGTAAGGATATTTAGTGTTGTGTACCAGAGATAACATTCACACCTACAGTAAGGATATTTAGTGTTGTGTGTACCAGAGATTACATTCACACTTACAGTAAGGATATTTAGTGTTGTGTACCAGAGATAACATTCACACCTACAGTAAGGATATTTAGTGTTGTGTACCAGAGATAACATTCACACCTACAGTAAGGATATTTAGTGTTGTGTGTACCAGAGATTACATTCACACCTACAGTAAGGATATTTAGTGTTGTGTGTACCAGAGATTACATTCACACCTACAGTAAGGATATTTAGTGTTGTGTACAGATTTACATTCACACCTACAGTAAGGATATTTAGTGTTGTGTGTACCAGAGATTACATTCACACTTACAGTAAGGATATTTAGTGTTGTGTGTACCAGAGATTACATTCACACTTACAGTAAGGATATTTAGTGTTGTGTACCAGAGATAACATTCACACCTACAGTAAGGATATTTAGTGTTGTGTACCAGACATTACATTCACACCTACAGTAAGGATATTTAGTGTTGTGTACCAGAGATTACATTCACACCTACAGTAAGGATATTTAGTGTTGTGTACCAGACATTACATTCACACCTACAGTAAGGATATTTAGTGTTGTGTACCAGAGATAACATTCACACCTACAGTAAGGATATTTAGTGTTGTGTGTACCAGAGATTACATTCACACCTACAGTAAGGATATTTAGTGTTGTGTGTACCAGATATTACATTCACACCTACAGTAAGGATATTTAGTGTTGTGTGTACCAGAGATTACATTCACACCTACAGTAAGGATATTTAGTGTTGTGTGTACCAGAGATTACATTCACACTTACAGTAAGGATATTTAGTGTTGTGTGTACCAGAGATTACATTCACACTTACAGTAAGGATATTTAGTGTTGTGTACCAGATATTACATTCACACTTACAGGAAGGATATTTAGTGTTGTGTGTACCAGAGATTACATTCACACTTACAGTAAGGATATTTAGTGTTGTGTGTACCAGAGATTACATTCACACCTACAGTAAGGATATTTAGTGTTGTGTGTACCAGAGATTACATTCACACTTACAGTAAGGATATTTAGTGTTGTGTGTACCAGAGATTACATTCACACCTACAGTAAGGATATTTAGTGTTGTGTGTACCAGAGATTACATTCACACCTACAGTAAGGATATTTAGTGTTGTGTACCAGATATTACATTCACACTTACAGGAAGGATATTTAGTGTTGTGTGTACCAGAGATTACATTCACACTTACAGTAAGGATATTTAGTGTTGTGTGTACCAGAGATTACATTCACACCTACAGTAAGGATATTTAGTGTTGTGTGTACCAGAGATTACATTCACACTTACAGTAAGGATATTTAGTGTTGTGTGTACCAGAGATTACATTCACACCTACAGTAAGGATATTTAGTGTTGTGTGTACCAGAGATTACATTCACACCTACAGTAAGGATATTTAGTGTTGTGTACCAGATATTACATTCACACTTACAGTAAGGATATTTAGTGTTGTGTGTACCAGAGATTACATTCACACCTACAGTAAGGATATTTAGTGTTGTGTGTACCAGAGATTACATTCACACCTACAGTAAGGATATTTAGTGTTGTGTGTACCAGAGATAACATTCACACCTACAGTAAGGATATTTAGTGTTGTGTGTACCAGAGATTACATTCACACCTACAGTAAGGATATTTAGTGTTGTGTGTACCAGAGATTACATTCACACTTACAGTAAGGATATTTAGTGTTGTGTGTACCAGAGATTACATTCACACTTACAGTAAGGATATTTAGTGTTGTGTGTACCAGAGATTACATTCACACTTACAGTAAGGATATTTAGTGTTGTGTGTACCAGATATTACATTTACACTGATAGTAAGGGTGGTTTCTGATCCAATGTTTCAGTGGAAGAGATTGGTAAATTGAAGTCTGAGATTGCAGCTATAAAAAGGGAGAGAGATCGATATGCTGATCAGTTACGAAAAGGAGGTAAGGAAAGACGATATAGACAAAGGGAGGTAATTACTAAATGAATAACACGCTGAAACAGTTACGACAAAGGAAATAGGAATAGAGGCTTAAATACAAAAGGGAGGTAACCACTAGATAAACAACTTCATACATATAAACAACAGACAGAAGGAGAAAAGGGAGGTAATATCTTTATAAACAACAGATTGAAAACGTTATGACAAGGAGGTAGGAATAGAGACTTAAAGACAACAGGGATATAACCTTATAACTGTAACAAGATATACTGTGAGGACAAGCAGGATAAAAATAGCGTGATAGTTTTGATCCTCTAACATTGAGGCACATTTTCTCCATTTCTTCTCTCTGTCTGTATTATTTATATACCATGTTATGAGGTCAGATATCATACCTGTAGATAACAGTTCTAGGTTACCTATGAGTTTTATTTTAATGATGAATGATTAAATTGATAAAAATGGTTTGTAATCATTGTAAATATAAAAGAGGGTGAAAGGAGTGTTACTTTCTAGATATTTATAAAATTTTGTTTTGCGTCAGGTGGAACATATGTTGAGACAGCAAGCCAGTGGGGACAGAAAGTGAGTGTACCTGATGCCTCCGACCCCTCTAATGGAGCAGCCACACCCCATAACGGCTTAGGGGGCCAGGAGGCAGGTTCTGAACCCCAACCCTCCTCTCCTGCCCCAATTGCTGAAAATGCTGACAACAAACCAAAAGGCAACAAAAAAAAGCGTAATACAATCAGTCTCCAGCTGGAAATTAAAAAACAACAACAACAACAACAGTCATTAGAGATGTCTACACAAGGCATGATGGGAAATTTTGGAAATGTTGCAATGAACAATATGATGATGAATCAAATGATGTTTGGAAACAGCCAGATGATGATGCAGCAGCACATGATGGGGGTCGGATCTCAAGGTCAAGGTCAAACTACTGATTCAAATGCTGCTGAGATGGCTGGAGCTGGTCTCATACAGCTGGCCATGCAGGATGCAGGGATCACTCCAAGTACAAGTGTATCATCCGATGAAAATGTTACCTCGACAACAACTCAAACGAGTTCAGAGTCGATGACCACTGCAAGCGATAACTCTGCACTTGAAACACTTGCTTCCATAGCAACAGTTCCACAGACAGCAGGGGCTGTAGGTTCCTCCGCACCGGTCAGTCAGGCTGCAGTGTCACCGCTTGTCTCACAGAGTGGCTCGGCCATGACTGCCACAACACAAGCTATTAATTCAAACATGCCTATCATGGCCACCGGACAAAGTGGCATAGGACAGATGCCACCAAACAATAACATGATGAATGTTCCATTTGGTGGCCAACAGCAATTCCCGCCAGGCATTCTACAAGGACAGCAGGGAGGTTTCAATGCGGGCATTCCTGCCCCACAACAGCAGATTATGTTCATCAATGAGCAGGGCGTTCCCTGTATTGCTAATGTGCCTCTGGGAATAGACCCAAACACACTGGGTATTCCAAACTTTCAGAAACAAGTTGTGGGAATGGACAAACCTGGAAATATTGGACTCCAAGGATTTGGAAATGTGATGGTCCAGAAGGACCAGGGGATAACTACAGATCAAACGCTCATCGCTAATATGAATCTCCAAAGTCAGCAGACGTTCCAGCAGACCCAGGGGGCCGTTGCTATGGGTACGCCTGGTATGGTTCAGCCACAGATGCCATTAGGACAACAGGTGATGCAACCAATGCATCAGTTGACTGGTGGACTTAATAACCAAGGGCAACAGGGACTCATCATGCCTGTTAGTCAGAGTGGCAACCTGCTGATTAATTCAACCAATCAGAATCAAGGCCCATCTGGTAACCAGCTCCCTCAGGCTCTACTCCTTCCAAATGGACAGATTATCCCTGTGGTAGCTAACCCCCAGACAGGGGTTAATGGCGGAGGAGGGGTCATCCAGACTAATGCTCAGTGGCAGAGCGGGGGCTTACAAGCAGGCGGGGGCCTACAAGGGGGCAGCATTCAGCAGTCAGGTGCTCCCCAGGGAAACATAACAGTATCAGCAGCCCCACCGCGAATGTCCCTGCCCCCAGGGATCCAAGGCAGTGTAATGGCTAACGGAATGGATGGATCCATTATGCCTGCAGGACCAAACCCTGGAACATTAGCGTCCAGTGCTGGACAAATACAGGTTAATATGTTACATGAGCAATGATGAATGGATTTTTCTATATTTGTTGTTGTCCATAGGTCTTCACCATCAATGGTCATTTTTTTGTCTTTTATCATTTTCATATTCCTGACTTTTAGAAACTCCTGTAATGATTTTAGATAAATTTAGCAGAAAAGTTCTAAGGGCAATGACAAACTAGAATTGAAATTGCATGATTCGAACCCCAAAAAGGCTTAAAGTTTGGCTAAACTCTATGAATGGAAAAGTCTCAATGTGTTTTGACAATGTTAATTTCATAACCTCGCATTCCCACATTGCTGTCAAGGGTGGGAATAGAATTTTGGATTACCGGAGACAAAATCTCATAGTGACCTATTCCAGTACTCTTTTGTCTGGCATTGCCCGGTGTCTGTCATGAGCCCATAAACTTTTTACATTTTCAACTTCTTTAGGAAAACTTAAAGAAATAATTTCAGTGAAATTTTTCAGAGGCCTCCCATGTTTGAAGTTAAACCCAAATAGAGGCCAGAGGGGTGGGACTCAGAAGAGGTCAAATTGTTGAAATTTCAAACATTTTCTCAATAAACAAGTATGATAGAATCAAACACTCTTGATGGATGGAAGGGTCTTAAAGTGCTTTACCAAAATTGTGAATTTCATGTTCACAGGATCTCTTTTTTCCTTTGTTGAGGGGGTAATATTTCATATAAAAAAAATGAGATTTTTGAGAATACTTTCTTTGGAAAATAATCACTTGGTTAGTATTATTACTGCAATATGACAGTTTGATTCTTTGTATATCTAGAACTTGACTGGCCTTCAGGGGCTTATAAGCCAAACCAAAAGGGGTCAAATTCCCTCAAATTTCAAAAAAATAATTCAATACCCTGATATGGAAGAATCTATTAAATCTTCTTCATGGTTGTGTTTATAGGAAAATTACATTTTTGAGTGGAATTTCTTTTAGTTCAATGGTGGTTAGAAGCTTTAGAATGGGATGGCAGTTAATGTTATACACAGTTTACATTACAAGTGTAGTTCATATTACTTTGTTAACAAGAATTTTGTCTTTATGACACGTTACAAGAATTTTGTCTTTATGACACGTTACAAGAATTTTGTCTTTATGACACGTTACAAGAATTTTGTCTTTATGACACGTTACAAGAAAAGTTTTATCTTAGTTGACTATTAGTCCTACATTTGATACAGGTAAACAAGGTAGTAGGCTGATCAAATCTGCCTGCTGTCTGTCACTAGAAGAAACCACTATTACTTAAGAAGTACTGGATGGATTGTACTGAAATTTCTTATAGGTTCATGTTGGTCCTGAGTTTCTCCATTTCGAATTTGGAATTGATCAGAAAAACAAAATGGCCGACAGGCAGCCATCTTGAATTTTGACAATGAATGTTTGTTACTGTTATTTCTTTAGGACTGGATGCACCTTTCTCAAATTTCTTATGAATGTTTGCCTTGGTCCCTAGTTTTGCCCTTCCAAATTTGGGACTGATCAGAAAAACAAAATGGCTGACATTCTCACAATTTCTTGAGAGGAATTTTCAAATTTCTTACAATTAGGAGCAGAAAAAAGAAGGGAAAAGATCCAAGTTTTTAGAACAAATTTAGACCAAACAGTGGTGGGTCCCTCCATGGAAGCTGTTTTCAAAAAGAAATAATTCAAACGTCTTTAATGTTGTTACCAGGTTACATTTCACAACAAAAACTAATCAGGTCTCAGTTTGGCAAAATTTAAGCTAAAAATTGCCAATAGGAATGTATTACAAAAGCTTAAGAAATTTCCTGACACCTTAAGTGATGTAATGCTTTTCTATCGGAAAATTTCCTTTAGTAAAGGAAGATTCGTGACACAAAAAATTCATTCGTAAAAAAGAAAAGAACAAAAAACATGTCAGTGGTATGGTTCCAGTGATTATTGTTGTAGGATAATGATGAATTGCTGACAACTTTAGAGAATTTTTAGATCGAACAAATTCAAGTAATGATGACGACCATCAATGCAAGAGGGATAGTAAATCTTTTACATGTTGTGGATATTTTTTTTTTTTTTGAATTCTAGACAGTTTCAGGAGGAGAAATTGCTAACAAAGAGTAAAATTTGAATGAGATCTTACTGTTTTTTCTGTATTGTAGGTTGGACAGCCTCAGGTGGCATTCTCCCACCAGTCCTCCAGTATGGGTTTACTAATGACAACTGCCTCGAACCTTCCTGGCACGAATGCTGTGGCCAACTCCTCAGTCTCTCAGCCTCTCTCTGAAGCTGGTCAGACTGGCAACATGGTTGACGTCATGGCAACAAACAAAGGAAAAACTTCATCTGTAACAGCAAGTGGTCAACAAGTTGTTGACCCCAAGCAAGGTCAAGGCCTGTTACGGTTTAGTGACTCGGATATGTCTGATCAGTCCAGAGGGTCACAGGTTATCGTGAAGTCAACAGGGTCAGCTGGTGTTTTTCCAGCAGTATCTGATAGCACCACCATGCCTTCAACTTCTGGGCCACCAGGGAATTCTGGGATACCAGTTGGAATGCCAGTGCCACCAAGTGGTGGGATGGGAACCGGAGCCAATGGGCCAATACTTCTTACCATGAATCTCAATGGTCAGCCAACCAGTGTTTTAGTTGACCCGACCACCATGCAAGTGTTGGGCACTGTTCAGAATCCTCAGCAAGCCCCACCGCAGTCAGTTGCTGGACAAGTACAAGTTGCAGGTCAACAAGCCACAAGTCAACAGGTTACAGGTCAGCAGGTCACAGGTCAGACCATGCAGGTCACACCTCCAGGAAATACTGCACCTAGTAAAAAAAGCAAGAAAAATTCACAGAGAGCCATTTGTCCTAAACCCACTGCCAAGAACAAATCAGGGCGAAGCTCTGAAGGACAGTTGTTTACAAATGAAGATGAGGACCAATCAGAATTGCCCACACAACCTGTGCTGCCAACAAAAAAATCAAAGTCTAAGAAAAATAAAACATCGAAAGTGGTTTCCACTGCAGCGACCACTACTACTACTACAGAGACTACAACACAAGACGAAAGTGCTACTGACACCACAGATATCTTAGCAAAAGCTGCAGAATCGATTTTTTCTGCTGATATCTCACCTCCTATTGGTGGATTTTATAACCCAGCCAATGAAGACAATCCTCTGCAGATAGACACTAGTGCAGGGGAGACGGAAGAGGATCCAGAGGCAGGAAGAACACCAAGAAAAGAACCCGCACCAGCAGATAACATCGGCGGCATGCAACAGGTGAAGGAGCTACATGTGGAAGGAGATGGCACTGATATCCTTCGAGGCAGTCAAACTTTGTCACATCAAGAAGTCACTGATGTTTTGGGTGTAGACATGATGTTGACTAGTAGGGGCCCTGGTGACATCCTTACAAACATTACTACTACTACGTCTATCCACACAGACCTTGGAAGTCTAGGTGCAGAGAAGTCAACACCTGATAACAATGGTGTGTTTTCTCCACCATCCCATACAGAAACACCAAAGAAGTCTTCTAAAAAATCAAAGAAACCAGAAAAGGAAAAAAGTATTACTCCCGAGAAAACTAAAGTAAAGGCAACTGAAGATGAAATTCAAAACACAGTGAAAGAAATAATGAACTCGGTAAAAAACAACACCCCTCCACCAGTAACAAAAAAATCAAATAAAAAAGCAACGAAGAAGGCAGCATCTGTGGAAAAGCCTTCGTCAGTGTCAGAAAAAATAACCGAACCAGTGGAACCCACAGATTCTGTCATCGCTTTTCCTGATACTATCATATTTTCTGAGAAGGAATTGTCGGATGTTTTAGACCAGGTGGAGAATCTCGGTTCTTCCCTAAGTGACAGTTCACAAACAGTGACTCCTCCAAAGAAAAGTAAATCAAAGAAAAATAAGGGAGATAACTTGCTTAGTGATAGTGAACCAGCAAGCAAGAAACAGAGAAAGGGATCAACACGAGAGAAAAATAAATCATCCGCTGTCACGGAGAATGTTAGTGGAAAGTCATCAATGTCTGTGTATGATTTTGAAGAGGATGGACAGGAGGAATTTTCATCACCGCTACGATCACTCCAGACAAAACGTAGTTCTTCTGCTATTAGTAACACTCCAGTCTCAATTGATTCATTAATTAAAAGTGCTTCATCAGCGCCTGTCAGTGTTTCTAGTGTGTCTCCATTGAGAGAACATTTACCATTCTCAACGCGGGGTTGTGCTAGTGAAGGACACCTATTTCCCTCCCCCAATCAAGTCAATTTCACATCTGCATCCCAAGATGCATCATCAGAATTTCCCGATTCTGCGATGACAGAGAGGCCTCTTTTTGATACTCAGTTACCTCCACCAAAGGAAAAGAAATCGAAAAAACGCTCAAAGTCCAAAAAAGCAAACAAATCTCAGACACCAGATACTGCAGACAGAACTTTACCTGAAAAGGATGTGTTAGAATCTCAAAAGCAATCAACAGTGCCAGAAAAAACCAGTGACGACCCTTTAACTCCTTCAAACAGATTCAAACATACAGACTTTGACGAGTTTGAAACTAAAAAGAAGGAAAATGATATTGAAAAGATGGATATTGATTTACTGGAGAAAAGTCCCGAGCAATCAACAAACAAGAAAAGTGAGAATGAATGTTTGGGTCTAGAAACTAATACGAATGACACAAGTCTTTTGTCATGTGTTCAGAACAGTGTGATAATGGACGAACAATTGGCTCCCAGTGTGCCACAAAGGGATCCGTCCCCGCCAAACTCACTGAGTGACTCTGTTGCTCTTACGGATCCTGTCCACATTTCTACACACTCCTTGGCTTCTTCGGAGAATTCAGATATAGACAACACAATGAACAGCATACTCGGTCTTTCTGCTGCCGCATCACTGTCTCCACACATTATATCGCCAGGGCAACAACAGCCTGTTCATCATGTGCGGGTCAGCTCACCACAACTTCAAACCCCCAAATCTACTTCCCCTGTGTCAATGACATCACCTCAGCAGCAATCGCTACAGCATCCAGTGTTGATATCTGTTGCTAGTAGTGACCCACTTGTTTCTCGTGCCTCTTCTGTTACCTCGTGCTCCTCCATGACAAATTTCTCATCACCAGGTGATTTACCGTACTCAGCAGAGTCCCTGTTTAATCCACCATCTGACAAGCCAACCATTTCTTCTGCAACAAAACCTACCACCCTGGCTATTTCTAGACAGGATAGTGATAAAACAACTCACTCCTTGTTTGAAAAATCTCCCATGGGATCAAAAGCACGAAATGGCATCTTTTCAGCAGATAACTTTGTACAGACAAACAAAGATGAAGGATTACGAACTGATAAACCAGCCAATCAAGTTAACGTGATAAGTCCTCCTTTATCAAGCTCTTTAAGTCGTATAGGTAATGAAAATAGCTCAGATGCTTTCAATTTTGCTAGTATAGGTCTAAATTTAGCAACACCTACAACATCTACAACTTCTATTATTGATAGTCTAAATATGTCTTCAATCATATCCACGATAGCCAACACATCGGTCACGACGTCATCCTTCACATTTACACTATCATCTGTTACATCAACATCAACAACCTCTAGTGCTGGAATGACGTCACATGACAATCACCAAAGTGTTCATCCATATCCTTTTTATTCGCCTCAGTCTCATCATCATTTGCCATCGTCATCTAATGTGTCAAATCTTCTGAGTAATACAAATCAACAACAGGAACAACAGCAGCAACAACAGCAGCAACAACAACAACAGCCATCACTAACCATGCCAAACTTTGATATCGATCTTAGTAATAACGTTACATCTCATTTGGGACATCAACAGAAACGAACATCAAATGAGACTGTACCGCCACCTCATAATCAGAGCAGTCAGTCACAGTTGTTCTACGGTATGTCAGGTGGCAATCGCCCCAGTTGTTCAGTTCAGAACCAGCAAAGGGAACCACAAGAACAACCACCAATGATTCCTAATATCACGGTAAGTTCACATAACCCTATCAGCAAATCTCAGTCGGAACAGATTCATAATACTCATAAACGGATGCAGGAGTTAGGTCAGAGTTCAGTGCGGAGTGGACAACCTCCAGCCAAGACTAGTAACACCGACCATCGAGGGAGTGAACTTGGGGCAATGGAACGCCAATTTAATGTTAAACAGTCTAATGCTGATCCCCGTGGTAACGACTTGAATACCATGGACAGGCAATTCAATCTCAAGTCCTCTGGACAGGATCCTAGAACAAATGATCTAAGTGCGTTGGACAGACAATTTAATATTAAATCCTCAAATCCAGATCCTAGAACAAACGATCTAAGTGCAATGGATAGGCAATTTAACATTAAATCGTCTAATCCTGATCCTCGAGGAACTGAACTTGCTAATATGGAAAGACAACAATTTAGTATGAATAATGTCCAGCCGTTTTTTACTCCCCCAAATTTTTCTAATGCTGGTTCACAGTCGATGAACACCCATCCTCTGCGTCACCCGCCCTTGAACTCTGTTGAGGAAAGGTCGGGTTTACCAGGTGCCCGTGCCTATGAACCTATATTCTCCCCGCACTCACAGGGGTTTAACCCAGCATCGCAGGGTTTTGGTGGAAGTCGATATGAATCTAATGTAATGTTTCCTCACCAGAGGGAAAGTTCTGGTGTTGTGGTAGGAAATCAACCCCTCAGTCACACACCACCGATTCAAACCGATGGTCGCAAGTCAGCGAATTCACAAAGTTCTAGTGCCAAATCAAACAAACAGAATAGCAGTCAACAGTCACAACACTCAGTGGCTCAGCAGCAGCAGCAGCAACAACAACAACAACAACAGCAGCAGCAGCCAAGATCCATGAGTGGCCCACCACCTCATACTGTTCCCACTCCTCCACATCATCCTCCTTCCCACAGACCAACGCCCCCTCAAGCTTCCTCACAACCTCCACCATCACATCAGTCGCAAGTGTCTCATTCACGACAGCAGAAAAGTGCTTCACGTTCAAAACAATCACAGAAAAAAAGTAAACAACAGCAACAGTTGTATAGTGAAATGGAGAATCCTTATCAACACGCCATGTTTGATGCTAACAGGAGTTTGACACCGTTCTTTGGACTTCCTCCGCAGAATCTCTCACCACCTGCACGGAATATGCAGAATGAAGGGCCAGGGCTGTTTGCAGCAAATCTATTTGCCGCAGGGCCTCGACACACAGCTACTGCCTCTATGCCAAAGAATGCAGAAATAAGCACTCCATATAATCCTTTGTTTCCTACTGGGCGACCCCAGAATGGCCTTGGTTTGAACTTTCAACCTGGATTCGGTATGAACACTGTTCATGGTGCGATGTCGAATGCCCCATCAATAACTCCACACTCCGGTAGTGTAACTGTTACCCCTCATATGTCCAATTTTAGTTTGACAAATATTTTCTCGGATGTGAACAATTCTTCGCAAAATGATTCATTAAATATTTCACCAATCAAATTTCCTCATTCGAACTCGATAATGCCCCATCAGAGTATGGATCCAAATGCCCTGCAGCATCCTCATCACCAGGGAGGTCCTATATATCATCCTCATAACAGGACACACCCCCCTCCTCCCGTACTTCACAATGCTATGAGTATAAATAGTATTCTCGGCCAGCATCATCACAGTTTTGAGACGCGAGGCGTGCCCCAGGGTATGAACGCGTCCGGCCCTACTTTCCACGGTCCAGGTCACCCTCCATCATTTGCTATGCCACCATTAAACTTTTCTATGCATGACCCATGAAAGGTGTATGTATATTTAAGACAAATTTTGTTAAAAAGAAAAAAATATTGTCAGTAAAGTTTTGCTTTAAAATTTTTTAGGAATAATTTCAACATTGTTTAGATACTGTAAGCATATTGTTATTTAGAATGTGGCATAATTAAGGTGGAATTCTGTAATATTGCGTCAGATTAATGTTTTATCTCTGTTTCGCTCCAGATCATATTGTACCTCTTTCTGTAAAGATTTTTTTTTTTGTCTTGACAGTTTTACCAAATGGTTGAAGCGTAAAGGTTGTTGATTTTTCGCTGGGTCAATTCATTCTATTTTCAAGATTGTTTTATTCTGTCTTCGAAGTGTGTAGCAAAAATTAGAACCTTTTGAAAATTACAATTTCTCCAGTGTTTCTATCTTGCCTGAAAACTCAGAAGTAAAAGTTACATGTGAACTTATAAATGTGAAAATATTGCTTTCTGAACTGTATCTCTGTTGCATTATATCTATCTCATTATGTCATGTTTCAGACTCATCTGTCTTGTCAGCTGTTTCTGTATATTAACATATTTGATTTTGTCAGTATACTGCATGTATACTCATTTCAGTGGAATTTGAAAATTAGCGCCTTTTGCTCTGAAATCACATATCAAAGTGCCTGTCATCAGGCATGGAAACAAATCACAAAATAATTTGGTGTTGATTTACACATACAGCTGGTAGTTCATGAATTGTATTTTATATGATAACTGTACACCTGATTATCAGAAAATTGTAAAGATTGCGGTGATTCAATGGTTGAAATTTTCAGTGTTAGTACAATTAGAAAGCAAAAAGGATTTCATTTTCAAAGAAAATCATAATTCAGGCAATTTCTCAAAAAGATTCTAGTTGTAGGAAATGTATTCTATCACAATTTTGTCGTTGAAAGTGGGGGGAAAAGAATAATCCATGAAAATGACAGTCTTTAAATATTGTTGTTGAAATAAAATGCAGTAGAGAAAAATGGATCATGGATATACTGTTGTTATGGCAACTTTTTTTTTTGTTCAGAATGAAAACATTATTTCAGATTAAATCTAAATTAAATTGAATTTTCTGTGTTAATTAATTGTGAAACAATTGCCAATAATCTTTGAAATTCAAATTCTGTTTAAGATAAAATATTTTGTTTGATACTACTAAGGAACTTTCTGTAAGGGTGACAAGTGTCCTCCTGTGGTGGGGGAGGAGGGATAACCTTTTTTCCTTTCTCAGCCTATCTAATACAATAGTAAAGGATTTAAAGGGTCCAAGGGCACTGATTTTTTGCATTTTAAAGGATATTTTTAGGCTTTGTTGCAAGGTGGTAGGCCAATCACAACTTCAATTCATTTTTTATTTTACAAGTCCACATGTAAAGAGAGATCAGGTTTTTTTTTTCTTTGAATTGAATATTTACTTGAGTATCAATGTTGATCTACTGTCTGATATAAATGTGTAAATAAGTGAAAAAAAAGTATTAAACTTAATTTAAATTTAGCACCCAAACATTGACTTAAGGAGCTCATCTGTAGTTCCTAAGTTAATATCCAAAAATTTACGTTTTATGAAAAATACTTTGAATTTGTTCAAAATAGGAATTGCCAAAAATAATTGCCACTTCCCAATATTTCCATTTGATTTTCGTTCCAGGCTTATGGGAGTATTCAATAAGTGTCAGTTATCTCCCTTTTGTGATGGACCAGTATTTTAAGCTCAATGTATGATGTTTACTATATCAAAGTAGTCTTGTAAGTTGATAAATCAGAGATGTTCACTGAATTTAACCAAGATGTTTTACAGAATCTGACTTCTATGTAAATTCATAAACAAAAGTTGAATGAATCTAGTTAAACTGTAAACTTATTGAATAGTTCAATGCTGTAACCATAGTCAGTTTTATTGAATAGTTCAATGCTGTAACTATAGTCAGTTTTATTGAATAGTTCAATGCTGTAACCATAGTCAGTTTTATTGAATAGTTCAATGCTGTAACTATAGTCAGTTTTATTGAATAGTTCAATGCTGTAACTATAGTCAGTTTTATTGAATAGTTCAATGCTGTAACCATAGTCAGTTTTATTGAATAGTTCAATGCTGTAACTATAGTCAGTTTTATTGAATAGTTCAATGCTGTAACTATAGTCAGTTTTATTGAAACTATTTTTGTTATCTTATCTCTTTATTATTATTTTTTTATTTCATTATTGTCATGAATTTAAAAAAACATAAATTTCAACTCAGCTGTTTGAGTGAATGTGGCAGAATAAAATCTTCAATATTAACGCAGATAGCAATTTTTTTAGATATTAAGCCAGACAGCAAAGGACTGTTGGAAGGTTGTACTATCAGTCATCAAACAGGTTTGATGAATAAACTAAGAACTTAGAGAAAGTTAAAACCTTCAATTCTTTTACAATGAAAAAGTCAAAGAAATGTTAATGTTGTGTTCATATTGAAGGAATTAATGTGATGCTCTTTCAGAAATTGAGATCAAACAATTTTTTGTATTTAAAGAGTATGTCAACATTGCACTATTTTTTTTAACTGTTACTTTGCACACAAAATGTATATATAACTTGTATTTTTTATTTTAAGAAACCTTTTGTATATTGATATGTTGAAACTTCTATTTTTAATTTAATTATACATGACTGCACTGCTATTTCAGGCAATGTTTGTCACTGCTGGTGGATGAATGAGAATTGAAATTTGTTTAACACAATACTTGTCCAAAACAGACACTGATTTCAAACATTATAACTATAACAGAGTTGATTGTGTTTATGTTGAGGGAATGAACAGGCCTCTTGAACCTTTTCCAGTCACAAACTAAATATTATTTTAGTTTTTGAGATCTTACAGGTTATTTGAAATGATGAAAAGAAAACGTGGACCCCATATTCACGAAATCGTTCTCATGCTCAAGCATGAATTTTGTGCTCAAGCCTTATGTCTTGTTTAACTTAAAGATTAAGAAATAAGGCTGGTTTTGCCGAAGATTTAAAAACAATTTTGAAAGGACTTCAAGTCAAAGCTATAGTCAAGGTTGAACTTTGACATTTGTAACATTCATGCTTATGCTTGAGAATGGTTTCATGAATACGGGCCCTGAATATCATCAATATTTATCTTATTTAAGTCAACGAGATATTTGATTGTATCAGTTTGATTAGATGATATCGTTCGCACAAGGATGAGTATTAAAAGTCATCTTTATCACGACTTTGGGGAGGTATCACTTGGTATTTTAACCTGTCAAACAAGTTCACATATTTGCTGCATAAAAAAAGGGTTTTCTAGTAATATCCTAACTGAAGGAATGAAGGGTCACCGTTAGAATAAAAGGCAGCCAAGAAGTAAGGATGCCAACAAAGCTGAGTTTTCTGCCTAATGCATAATTATAGAAATATAAGTACTGTATTTCTGTCTTATATCACATAGTGATGTACTTTTGGTGGATAAGGGGAGGTAACTTTTGGAGAGTTGCCAGTCGTCCTAGTCTTTGGTGTACTGTTGATGGGAATAAGGAGAGCTAACTTTTGGAGAGCTGGTCAGTCCTGCTAGTTCAACCAATCCAACAGTTTTAACTGCTTATGGGAGGTAATGAAATCTGTGAGACGGATTTATAAAACTGCAGTTATATATTACTATTAAATTTTGCTTCTGTTTGATAGCATACCCAGACACAATCATAAAAGACAATTTCATGTCTACAGCAGAAAACTGAACACAAAAGGAGATAAAATTTGTATTAATGTTAAAATGGTGAGAAAGATTGACTGTCTTTCGTGGAAAAGGAAATATTTATTTTGTTATACGACTGTCATTTTCCTACTTGCTGATACACCTCTCATAGATCTAAATATATCGTGATGTAACTCTGAAACAGGTAGAATCCCTGTGTATGTGTATTTATCACAGTCAAACGCCCCATTAGGGGTCTCACAGGTGTATATAAAATCTCATAACCTGTGATGAAATTTCTGACCAATCAGAACACCCCATTGGGTGTCTCACAGGTGTATATAAAATCTTATAACCTGTGATGAAATTTCTGACCAATCAGATATGATACAACAGTTGCTAACCTGTTCTGGGGTAAATACAAAGATTTATTAACACAAGCTGGTGATATTTCTGGAGACCTGAAAACAGAAAAATAATTCTAAATTGTAGTCATTGTAACTTTTTTATCACTTTTTGAGAAAGTTGAATTGACAAGTTCTACCTCTACTACCTTACAAGGATTTCTTTTAATATTAAAATCATGCCATGAATTTGCTTTAATTTGGAAATTAATAGATAATATTTATTGTACATGGAGGTCTAATACTGGAAAGAGCTCTGAACTATCTAGTTAAATTTTACATAGCCAACTATTTTACAAATTATTTTTTAGATCTTTGTCTGACTTTTTTAAGACCAAATTTTTCAAGCGTTTTTTGTCTGTGGTTGATCAGTCCATTTTTAGCTTTGTTATCAGATGTTCAAGATGGCCATCAGAAGCAATTTAGAATTTTCCTGATTAAGGTTGCTAGAAATTCTTTAAACGTGGCCAGAATGGGTTTCGCTTAAGCTTGGCACCTTCCTCATCTCCGTCACATTATCAGTTGACTGTCTTCAAGCCCCTGTGTTGCCTTCCCTCCAAGCCCCTGTGTCACCCTCCCTCCCAAAGTCATTGACAACTGCGCCCCCTAATATGATATTAGTTTTTAGCCCACCATCATCAGATTGTGGAGTATTCAAAGCATTCAAATCGCTCTGTGTCCGTGGTCTGTCGTCTGTATGTCCTTTGTCCGTCCGTCAATCTGTCTGTAAATAATTTTTGTTATCGCTATTTCTTGAGAAGTATTGATGAATCTTTCTCAAATTGCATATGTAGGTTCCCCTTGATCCCTAGTTGTGCCCATGTAATTTAAGGTCTGATCAGAAAAACAAATGGCCGAAAGGTGGTCATCTTGGATTTTGACTTTTCAAGTTTGTTATTGCTATTTCTTGAGAAC